ATCTGATAGACAAAGAAAATTCATTCTACTAATGTCGATAGTTGAATCTTCAATTATAGCGAAATATCTAGCTATCGTTATTTCTCCTACTATCTTCTTTAAAATTTGGGCTGATATAGACTTTATTAAGTCGTTTTGCATACCCGGGCTTAAGTATGTTGCATTTCTGTCACCGAAAATTAAATGTTTTAGCAAATCATCTTTCTTAGATAGGAGCTTAATAAGTTCCAGAATGTTGGCTTCATTTCATGTAGCTTCTTCTAAACCTTGCAATTCACGATGGCCTCTAAAACTCCAATCCCTGTTTTCCCAAATAGAGAACTGCATCTATAATACTTTCTAGTATTACTCTGTTGTTTTTTTTTCTATTTCCTTCTTTTCTGATGTTAAAATGTCACATATTATGGTTCTTTCTTTATAAAGTCGGAATTTTGTAATTAAAGTTCTCTCTCTGCAATCTTATGACTTACAAAGTTTTCATGTTTGTCAATTTTGTCAGGACATTTTGCAAAGTTCTTACAACCCAGTTTTGGATCACTCCAAGTGTCTGACTTGTGGTTAAAAAGCCAACAAGCAAAACAAATCATATTATTTGCCTTGGGCGAATATACTAGCCAGTGTCATATTATTTCCCAACCACATTTCCTATGGGTTTTTTCTTGTACCAACTGGTACTAAAATGCCGAGAAGATACATTTCTGGGAAAATCTTTATAAATATTTTATAGACCTGGTTTACAAGGTCCAAACTCAAGTAATGCACGATCCGGTGTTACGGGTGTAGCACAAAACAAAAAAAGGATTTGTAGGATATTCCAGATTTGTATCAATTATAGCATTAAGTTTGACTGGCACTTTTCTGTCAATCGTTCCCCCAGTATTATCTTGTTCTATCTCTCAAAATGTAGTTTTGAGAAAAACGCATCTGAAGTTTCATGTGGTCTGATTCTTATATTTAAACTGTTCCAATTCATTTTTTTTTAGATAAAATGTTAAAGGGCATTAAGCAATGAGCATCCAAGTTATTTTTATTACTTTATGTACCATTAGAAGACCATAATAATTATTTTTCACTTTTGAGATAGAACAAAATACGATGAAAGTGATCAGGTTTCAAAAATTGTATAATGTTCTAAGTCAAATTTTGTGTTTTTTAGGCAGTTATAATAGCTTTTCTAGAAGTATTATCTACTTTTTGTATGAGCAATGTCTTCTGGTTTTCTATCCTATTGTTCCCGGTCTTTACTTTCATATTTTTGATTACCGCAATGTAATATTTTAAGTTGTAAGTATGCTTTTGCATACAGAATTTTGATTTAATGTATTAATAAAATGAATTCACAAGTCAATAGATAGGTTCAATAGATTTTAATGTTTTAATTCTACACCATGAGACGTTTAAAAAACAAAAACAAAAAAAAATAACAAGAACTTGTAATAATGAATATTGAGAAAATACATAAACTTTGTTTTTATAATCAAAACAGTTTTAGCAAAAATAACACTCGCCGACAGTGCTTTAAAAACGTACTTTTAAAGGCTTTGTAATTTAGAAATAGATGATAACTAGCCACAAAGAGTAGCCATAAATTTTCTGTCAATCTCTGGCATGTAGGGCATCATTTTTTTCAAATCTTTCTTCTTTTCTTCTGAAATTAGGGAGCCCACTTTATTCGACTGAATTGAAAACTCTGGTATACTGGGAGATGTTTCAGGCTTTTCTTTTCTAAGTGTTCTTTATAAGTGGGTTTGTGCATTAAAATGTAAAGTTTATTCTGTAACTTTGGGTTATCTGCCTACATTAACATAATTTGATTTAGTCAGCCGCGAGTCTAGTTAGGGTGACACTCGGTGTGGTAACTGAGGGTGTCAACCCTCCACCCTCTTACAATTTTACATTTTTGGTTTTGTTTCACCCCTCTACCCTATAATTTTATTTTAAGATTAACTGGATAAAGAATTATATTGGCTGTAAATTTTAGTGTTTTTCACATTGGTATCGCCCTCTAAATGGCGTCACGTGCGGATCATACCACGCCCCCAGCCTTGTGATACAACTGGAATTAAAGTATTAATACAATAAATGCAAATCTCAGGAATTAGCTTAAAAAATAATGTATTAATTTTACACAATATACACAGCCCCTAATTCAAAAACAACCAATCTTGTAATTGAATATTGAGAATATACATAAACACTGTTTCTTTTCTCATAATGATGCTGCGCAACTTGACTACAGGCAGCGCCTATACCCATATCATTGACACTGCATTACCAGGTCTCTGTTGTTTTTATTGTTCTCTTTCGCACTTCTCTGCTACACTAATACTAAACTGAAAACCAGGAATAAACCTAAACTGAAAACCAGGAATAAACTTATATTCGTGGTTTTAAGACTAACAAGTTACTAAGTTAAGTTACTAACAATGAATTACTTTACATTTTGATCTGTAACAAAGACATTGTTTTCATCATCCATATATTGGAACACCTCCTCATTATGATTTTGATAATATAAATACAAAGTAAACCCTACAGATACTATACTACTATACTACTAAACAATACAATTAGTATAGGGGTATACTACAGTATACATTAACAATATTAGGCCTATTATTAATTAAGATATTTTAACAAACTTTGAACTAAATATGTGTAAAATAACACAGTTAAGACAACATATAAAAGATAAATATACATACGATTCAGGATCTGGTAATTCAGTCAGTTTATTTGCATGACAACCAAAATCGACTAAAAGGTGTTCACACGCCGCCATTTTGATCAACGACGCACAAGTCACATGACTTAAACAGCTGATTTCATTGGCAGAATCGGACATAGAACATTATAATTCTAGCGTATCCAAGGAAAATTTATGCGTTAATTTTATATAGATTATATACTGTTAGAACATAATCATATTATAAAACTGACATAGAACAAGATTATACTGGCCAAATGCATCAACTTGTAGTTAGAACAATGTCAAATTGAAAAGTTTGGTAGGAAGCAGATGACTTAGAGTCACGTAGACAAGTGGAGATTGAACATAGTGCTTTTCTACATCATAGGGTCGAGTTTTTCGAAAAAATCAAAATTTGTAGTTAGAACAAGATAATACTGAGGGGACGCAATATCCTCTTCTAATGTCTTGAGTCTCGAAGCCTTGATTCTGCATATGAGATGATGTTGTTGCTTGTATATTTTGTACTTGGGTATCTTGAGACACATCATCCTCTGGTTGTATTGTTGTCGAAGTTAAAGGCGTGCAGCTTGAAAAATATGTATCCAGTTTGACACATTTGGATGACGATTGTTGGCGATCTGAAATTTCTTTCAATCTCTTCCTCTCCCACCCTGAATATTTTTTTTCTTTACTGGTTTTCTTTCCATTCAATAACCTCTTAATTCTAAGCATCATTGTTGTCTTAGTCGCAATATATTTAGTTTGATACACCAAAGAATTTAAATTGTGCAATTACCTTTTGATAATTACTAACTATTCGAAACAAATTCAAACAATACAACAGCTGAGCGGTTAATTAATAGTGCGATCAGTTTTAGTTTCAGTTGAGTTGTTGTTTTTTTTATACAATATATAGCCTTATTCAAATTTAATATAGATCTAGTAAACTAAAATAATAATTAATATAAAGTTGATACTGTTTCATATAATTTGTAATCGTAATCACTATCGCCCAAACTGTCATGATTCTACTACTTCATCGTGATGACGTTGTTGACCTTGTCAAAATTTCCCCACCCCTACGTAGTTCACCCATTAGTTAATTTAAATAGAGGTGCCACATCAGTTGTATTTGTGTCTGTAAGGTAATTTTTAAAAATTAATTACGCGATTCAAACTTGATATATTAAGTAATTATGTGTGAAGATCAATGTATAATATTTTCTAATTCAATTATTCTTAAGCAAATACATTATACAGTTGCCTTAAACTGAACACCCCTCTTGTCAAGTGGTGCTACCCGTAGAGATTTTTTAAACATTGCAATGCATCGTAATGTTTATTTTTAAAATGACAAACTGATACAGCTGTTAATACTTGTTGTAAACGTAGACGCTAGATTAGTACTATTGTACTTGATTGCTGCATGAAAAGAAATCTTGTAATTGACATAGCCGTGCCGACCAAAAATAATTTTTTAACAAATATTGTTTAAAACTTTGAGTTTAAAAAGTTTCCAAAAAGGCGCCACTTTGCTGAAAATGATTATAATTGATGTTTATTTTTTTATTAATTATTAAACATGTTCTACCACTTTGAGGCCTCCCAAGAGATTTACATTTTAAAAGCTAAAAATAAATAGTTACAGCCTACACAATTTTGAGATATAATATTTTAAGCGTTATTGATTATCTTTATCGTCTTTTCCCATTTGTGCTCAAGACACATGGTACAGATGAAGTAGAGTTCATCTGTTTCAGTGACCTTGGCATATGAAGGGATAGTGTGGTCAGCACTATGCCCAGCAGTCTTAATTTTCCCTAACATGAGTTAGGTACCCATCAGAGCTGAAACGTTCTACTGACTTACACCCGAATACACTCATGACTTCCTGGTTAGCAGCTTAGCACTGATTATATTCATGCCTTTCAGTTTCTCGTCTACAGAGGAAGTATTGTAATTGTACTGTTTTCATTGTTTGACTATTTTGTTTACAATTCTGTTTAATCATATACAGAATACAAAGGATGCATAGGAATGCTGCAACAAATACAAATAATCTTCCGGTTCCAAAAACTGTTAGTTTTGGTTTATATGGGTGTATGTAAATACAATGACCAAATTTTATATATAGGACTTTAGGTGTATGATGAGTTTACAATCTCTTATGTATGTTTAAAAACACTGCAAACAATAGGATGCCATCAATCATTACTCAATCTAGAACCAACAAAGAACTCACTGAATCAACATGAACTGAAATCATGTCTCTTTAACTCTGTTACATTTTGCTTTATTTACAAACTAGTGAAAGTGGAAAAAACTGGGAAAAACTAGTCAAAGATGCCATTTTAGAGAAGTGTAAGAGTGTGGAGAGCATTGTTCATGTGTATGTGGATGTGGAATCTTTAGAAGGATGTGTCTACCTCAAGTGTACAAGCTGTGAGGCAGCTGGTAAGGCAAGGCTTGCCCTACATGGTTGGTGGTTTGATGGTAGGTTCATGCATCAAAGTTAACAAATCATCTTTGAACTCTTTTGAAATAAATGGAACTATTAATACCATTGTTTTCCACCTTAGGTCGACTAGTAACTGTCAAACATCTGAAAACAGAACATTATCATAAACGCTGGCCCGAGGCTCGTCAGGCTGTTTCACCACTCCAGCCTTCAACCAATGACATGAAGTCTCTCTCACAGCCCTTCTACCGCTCATCACTTGAGACGCTTTAACACTGCAGCCAGTCTAGTTGTTGACATGATTGTTGTCACATGACATTGTTGTTGACATGACATTGCAGTATAGTCCAGGCATGCTAACATTTTGTCAGAGTTACAAGGTTCTTGCTGATGTTTTTGTGAAAGGTTTTTAGGGATGTTTTTGTGAAAGTTTTTTAGGGATGTTTTTGTGAAAGTTTTTTAGGGATGTTTTTGTGAAAGGTTTTTAGGGATGTTTTTGTGAAAGTTTTTTAGGGATGTTTTTGTGAAAGTTTTTTAGGGATGTTTTTGTGAAAGGTTTTTAGGGATGTTTTTGTGAAAGTTTTTTAGGGATGTTTTTGTGAAAGTTTTTTAGGGATGTTTTTGTGAAAGTTTTTTAGGGATGTTTTTTTGAAAGGTTTTTAGGGATGTTTTTGTGAAAGTTTTTTAGGCATGTTTTTGTGAAAGTTTTTTAAGGGATGTTTTTGTGAAAGTTTTTTAGGGATGTTTTTGTGAAAGTTTTTTAGGGATGTTTTTGTGAAAGATTTTTGGTGATGTTTTGTGAAAGGTTGATTGAAAATTAGGTTAGTTAAACAAAAGAGATATTATTTATTTTATACTTTATGTATGAAAACAGTGCATGATCAAGATTTGAAAGTAATATTTCACCAGGCCATTTAGCAACATAGACTGCACTAAAGAGCTAATAAACACACTGTACATTTTAATACTACTCAGTTATGTAAATGAACAATTTTTAAAACTGTTCTGTTAACTAAAAGGATTTTTATTTGAATGAATTTATTTTGACACCAATATGTTTAGCTTATCAATCATTCATTAATTGGTTTCAATCTAGCTTTTTAATCTTCTCTAACCCTTTGCTCCAAGCATAATCATCTAAAGATTGTGCACACAAAAAGTGCTTGAAGCTATTTGATCACTTTACAGAGACCAATAACAGTCAGTGTTGTGTTAGAGAGAGATTTGAGATCTTTGATTTGATTGGTCTAAAGGTAATTTCTACTGCTCATCTGATTGGTGCATCAGCTTTAAAACCTTTTCCTGTTCAGTGTGAGCCCATTTGAACTTGAGACTTTAGAATGCAATATAGAACATAGATTCATTGGTTTCATTTTTCTATCTTTACTTTTACAAATTAATATGGGGGGGATGTCATTAAAGTATCTGTAAGAATATATTTTGTTGTGTTTTATAAACTGCTGTTTGAAGTGTGGCATCTTGTTATGGCAGTTGAAGAATCTGGAATATTTGGTAGCAACTAGCTGTCATGTATATATTGAGTAGAGACTCGTGTACTGTACCAACACTATATTCATTCTGAGCCAGATTAAAAAGCTTTTCTTTATCCCAACTTGTGTTAATTTCAATGTTGTCTAAATTCGAATTTGTCTTTTTACTTTCTCTTTACAGAGTAGACAGGAAGTATTGTAATTGTGCTGAAGAATTGACAGATATTTTGACAGTTAACCTTACTTCAGTTACTTAGAACAAATTTGAATTTTTTTAATGATCAACAATAATCTAAGTGTTACTTTACTCTATTTCCGGTTTCTGAAATACCAGTACCGTTTCATTTAGGTGAACAAAATTGTATACACAGGTAAAGATCTTATTATCTTGGATGGTGACCAGAAAGAAGCGCAACGGGGAAAAAAGGCACACAGAAAAAAGTGCAAACAAAAATGCGCAACCAGAAAAAAACGAAAAATGTGCAAAAGAGAAATTTAGTACAAAGACCATATGGACTAGATGACACATTTATACATGACTGTTAGGGCTGCTGTGAGAGTGTCGTGTTTGATCACGTGATCTACTACCATTTAAAGCGCACCACTACCATGTGCATTCCCATCACCACGATACAGGCGATAATCGCTTTACACAATGCTTGTTATTTTCTTGGTCAATAATTATTCAACTACTATTCTCGTATTAAATAAACATAAAACTATCCTTGATATCGACATTACACGAAGTATCTCTCACATTCTCCCTAGTGCGAACTACCTAGCTAGCATACCATAACAACCCGTTCCTATGGCAAAACTTCACTCTCTTTCATCCGTGTCATCAAACATGCATTCGTCATATCTCTCGCACCAACATTCATTCGCACCAAAATAACAATTATGTATTTAATATTATTTCACATCATGACGCACCTACCTACCTTATACCCACCTACTCACTTACCCACCTAAAAAATATCGGCGAAGTTCGTTAGTTTCGTAAACTGCACTAGACATCTTTTTTTGATGAAAATTCATTGACATATGTTACATATATGTTAACATTTTGCGACAACCTTAATTAGTGGGTCGACAATAAACCAACACGAAAGTACGAAAGAGACATAGACTGACTATTAGAGAATGGACCCCTTACCCCACCATTTATTATACCCTACCTAACCTCTAAATTTCCTGCGCTATATGTCACTTCCCTCCCAATCGTTCGTATTCTACTGAATTGTGTGTACTATTTATTTACATTCTTTAATCTCAATATAACTAAAATAGACTATTGTTTGAAGGGTAATGAAAGCATGTAAACAAAAGGGACGCTACTCTAAATCTATGCGAATACTTATTATACAGGGGTGCCACTTTTCCGGGATATCCCGGATTTCCGGATTCGAGAATCATATTTTTTTCCCTTTCCGGATTCGCAAGATTTGAGTTTGAAAATTTCCGGGTTTGCATTTTAAAAAAAAATTTAGATCGTTTTAAAATTTTAAGCTTGAAAATTTTGGCATTGTAAAAATCGTTTTTATCGTCAACACTCCCGCTAATGGCCTTTTCCGAAAAAAATGAATAGTAAATGACGTCAGCAACAAACTCACGCGTGCGCCAAGGACCAAATACAAATCGGCTGTATCAGATGGGTGAGGCTGTAGACGGAACTTTTTGATGTCATTCGTGGTGTGGTTGTCTGGCTATTAATGACGATATGGGTTGGGGGTAAAACTCGCATTATTTACGTGATGTCATCAATGGGATACCACTAGGTTGTGTAATAAAAACAACTAAAGCCTACAAGTACTAGATCAAGCTCACTAGCATCGCCGATGGTCTTTAAAAAAAACAAAACCGAAAGATTTTGCTCCGATCAACAAAAAAAAAATTTGTATTTGGTATTACCAAAAGAAAAGAAAAAAACTATTTAAAGGACTATTTTATGTATTTTTACCACCTCTTACCCGCTTCTTCAAGGTCGCGCTAACCGTAAGACCTACGTCACGAGACCACACAAGCACAGTCTGAGTCGTATCTCTCGGTCAAGGCAGTTCTACAAGTACAAGCGCTGTTTAATTTTAACGTGGTTATTTTTAATAAGGGCCTACTTCTAGATTCAAGAAAAAAAAACTAGAACTGCATCGTTTTATATCATTAAACAAAATATGTAGGCCTGCTATAATTTAGTTACACAATCTAGCAGGGTCTACATCTAATTGTTTTTTTTACTTTGGTAAAACGTCATTGAAATGTTTAAAAAACCTTGAAGTACCGTTTCTGAGAAAATAGCCGCTATCACTGCCCCCTCCCAACCGCTTGTAAAAAAAAATCAGCTTTTCACTTAGTCGGGCGGCTACATCTCTGACATGAGTATTACTAGCGTAGTTACTTCTAAAATTATTTTTAAAATTAACTTAATTCTGTTATTCCGCGATATGGACTTAAAACTTCCACGATATTTCTTCACGTCATCATGTATATCAATGGTGGGGGCGTTGGGGTCGTTCATAAATGACGTCACACTCGTAAGGGGAGGGGGGTTCGTAATTTTGTCATGAGGGGGAGGGGTTCAGATGGTGTGACATCACACTTTTGCATTATCCAAAAGCTATGTTAGAAAACGAATTTTAGCCGTTATTTCGCGTTTTAGAATATTGTTTCAATAAAGTGTAATAGGAATTGATTAAAATACTCTATGTGGACAGAGGTCAGACAAGATTTTTGGAAAATATTGTATTTTAAGAAAAATTCGACTGCAATTTTTAGGGGTGGGGGGGGGTGTAGGCTGAGGTGTGACGTCATTTTAGAGGGCGGGGTCTGGCTTTTTGTGACAGATATGTGACCGAGGGGAGGTGGGAGGTAAGAATCGTCAAAAAAGCGTGACATCATTTATGGATGACCCCATTGGCGGTTGATTGGGAAAACAGGGTTTTAGGTTTTTGTTGTGGCTGTTAATAATTAAAGCCTTGAATAGCTACAGTAATTCAACCCTGTATTTTAATACAGTGACAATCTTATTAGGGGTCTGCATATAGTGCGCTTATTATTCAATAACAAGACATAGAGGTTAGCAATTGGCTGACTACACACTTTAAATCAAGCTAGGAAGTTCTCAAAAATTAAATACAGTAATGTTATAAAAGCTGGCTGGGAGGGGGGGGGGGGAGTTCTACAATAGCACATTATGGGGTAGGCCTAGGGTAAACGGAAAAAAAGTCACAGGAAAAAAAAACACAGAAAAAAAGTCACAGTTTTTGCTAGGAAAAAAAGTCACAGAAAAAAAGTCACAGTGGAAAAATTTTATCGGAAAAAAAGTCACAGAAATAAAGTCACAGAAAAAAGTCACAAAAATCTTTTTTAGAAATATTTTTATTAATTTGTTAAGAATTGTAAAATTTTGTATGTTTATTGTTGTGGGTTGTATTTTTTGATAGCATAAATTATTTATAGACGTTAAAAGCATTATGATTTATAACAATTGTAAGTAAAAATACTCTAAGATAATTTACACAACAATCTCAACTTGTTACGTATTTAGTTAAATACGCGGTAGAAAAGTTAATTATAAAAGAAATTTAGGCAAATTTTGCCTTAGGCTATTCTCTGGTCGGCCTCTCCTCAGTAGGTATTTGTCCGAACATATTTTGTGTTGTTGACGTTACGCGTCAATGACAGCCTTTGAACCTTGTCGGCTTTCTGTTTTGATCCTAAGTTTTGTTATGTAATGAGCGTGATAAATGTGGGCAGTAAAGGTGGTTGAACTAAACATAACTATTGTTGCCATGAGTTGAGGGCAGCAAGTCAGATGAACTTACCATTTCACAGTAATTTAATATTGGTATTTAAAAAAAAAAACACGATGAAAACCGTGGACTTTGGAGCATTCTATTAAATGCTACTAATCTTTAGTTTAAAATAATTACAATCTACATACTTCATAATAAATATTTTTAGATGAATTATAAAAATTCCTATGCGTATACAGCCTACACACATTACATTACATTTAATTAATCCTAAGTTAATTTGCACTCTCTAAATATTTAATACATAAAAGTATTAACAAATATCATGCAAATATATATTTGTGACTTTTTTTCCTGTGACTTTTTTTCCTGTGACTTTTTTTCTGTGTTTTTTTTTCCTGTGTTTTTTTTTCCTGTGACTTTTTTTCCTACAATCAGGCCTAGAGATGGGTGGGACTAACATTGTAAACTAATTTTGTTGTAAGCACAATCCTTTAAAGATTAATTTTTATTTCAAGCTTGTTACAAAGAAAATGAATCCATTTTAAAGGAATGTAAATTGAACATAATATGAATCAAATGTCTCAAAAAAATAATGAAATAATAGTCCATTTTATTTTGAAATTCCGTGCGAAATTAAGTTTCAGGGTTTCAAAAATTTCAAATTTTAGTTTCAGGATTGGTAAAATTTTGGGATTCATTTTCAGGATTCACTTAGAAAATGAGTGGCACCCCTGCTTATATGTAACAATCCTAACCCCAACCAAAACATGTAGGCTACTGAACAGCATAATGGGCAGCATGTAGCCAGAGTTTCTTCCAGGCATCTCTTTTACTAGTGTCCGCCCCCCCCCCCCCCCCCCCCGGAGAAAAATGTCTGGAAGAAACACTCTATGTAGCCTATTTAACAGAAGAGCTATGGTTGTTTATATCATTTTGCATTCGTCCGGTAAACATTTCAGTAAAAGACCTTAATTAAAAAACCGTCCATAACCTTTTTATAAAGAAACAAAAAGAGATGAATTTTTATAATAACATCAGGCTTTGACTTACACCTACTCCAATGGCACCTACATTGTTAAACTGATTAACTATGTAATGTAGGGCTCAACAGGATCAATGAAGTAACCTTACGCCAAACCAGTTTGAAATTTCGAGTTTTGTAACACTGTTACTAAGCTAGCAAAATGGAAATGTGCATAATCTATTTCATCTACACAAACACCCAACCACCTACCTAACTACCCAAACACATACATTTACCCACATACCCACCTAACAACCTACCCACCCACTTACCCACCTACCCATATATATATATATATATATATATATATATATATATATATATATATATATATATATATATA